TGATGATGAATGAGACTTCATCGAAACGTTGCCTAGATACTTCGAATCTTACGCGGGAGAAAACCCGAACAAAGATCCACATACAAATACCCGCGAGAAACCCGAACAAAGATCCACATACAAATACCCGCGAGAACCTCAGAAAACAAATATATATGTATACACACACACACACACACACACACACACACAATTTGTAACTTTTACACAAGATCAGAAGCCACACCTTTGTGTTTTTTGTATTTTTTTCTTTTAGATTTTCTTTTACCTTTTCTTTCTTTTTCTGCACTCTTAGCTTTAGAAGATTCCGAAACCACAGCTACTAGAATTTTAGTTCAGCCACACAGCTAACAGATTAAATCACTCAAACACATGAATTTAGGCCATAGGCTTTGCTACTGTTTCTTAAAGATAACACAATACATTAATCATAGTATTTAAAATCATTTTTATTAACAATAATATGGACATTTTATCATGTAATTACAATGAACACTGTATTTTATTGTGATGGTTGAAGCCATTCGAACATCAGTGGAAATGTCCTGTATATTTTATCATTGCTAGACAACCAATCGCTCTCATTGCTCTGTTTGAGCCAGGCCTGCAACTTTATGGCATTACCAGTGGCTTTTTGCTTATGGAAATAAATACAAATGTAAATGATTGGGAACTTTGTAAATACTGTTTAACAATTTAAAAAGTTACAGCAATCTTGATGTTGTAATCAATCAGAATCCTATTAAAATATTTATCAGAATAACAGAGTAGAAATAAAATTAATACCCTATTCCAAATAACTGCCTTATTTGGCTTCTTTGGCAGTTTCTTGATTAGGGTATTGTTTACTTGATTGTTGGTCCGATGTTAATCTTTGAGTTAATCTATGTTGATCTGGGTGCTGATTGCTGGTGGAGAGGTGCTTGGGTCTTTTTTGTTTTGGCTGGTTGATTATCTCTATAGATGTTGTTAATCTCTATGTGTCTTTTGATGGCTAATTTGTCAAAGTGCCAGGCTTCTAGAAATTCCATGGTGTTTTTGGACTTGGCTTGGTCTAGGGTGATCACATTTTCTCAGTTGAAACTATGATTAAATCTGTCCATGTGTTGGGAAATTAAAGTTTTTTCATCATGGATTCTCATGCTACTTGGTGTTCATGGATGCGTTTGGCCAGTCTTCTGCATGTTTGTCCTACATAGTGGTTGTTGCAATTATTAACATTATTGAATGTTGTAGATGATTCCTGTTTTTTCTTCTAGGATTGCTGGGTCTTTTGGTTTGCCTAAGATATTTTGAAGGGCTTTAGTTGGCTTGTGTACTATACTGATTCCAGGTGGTTGTAGTAGTCTGTTGGTGGTTTCTGAGATATTCTTGATGTATGGCAGCATAATTCTTTTTAGGGTTTGTTTTGGTTGTGCTGAATTGGGTTGAGTGGTCAGGGACTTTTTGATAAACTTGCATGGATATTCATTTTGTTGTAATATATTGTAATTATGCTCTATTTTCTTTTTCTGCTATTCCGGGTTGCTGCAGTGCATTTGGGCTCATCTAAATAAAGTCCTTATGCAGCTTTTCTTGTGGGAGGTTGGGTTGTTGCTTTGGTAGTAGAGCACCTGGTTGGTATGGGTGGTTTTTCTGTAGACCTGCGCTTCTAGTTTGCCATTGTGGTCTCTGCTGATCAGAATGCCTGGAAAGGGTAGCAAGGTGTTTTCTTCTTTAGTAAAGAGAAAATTCCTTTAAAAATGTTATTGAAGGTCATGTGGTTCTTTCTAGAAGCCTTGCACTCCGACAAATTAGCCATCAATAGACACATAGACATTAACATCTATAGACTATGCAAAAGAGACAATCAACCATCCAAAAGGGGAACAAAAAAGATCCAAGCACTTCTCCACCAGTAATCAGCACCCAGATCAGCATAGATTAACTCCAAGGTTAAACAGACCAAGGATCAAGTAAACAATACCTCAATCAAGAAACTGCCTAAGAAGCCAACAGTATACAGTCCAATCAAAAAATCTCTAAAACCACCACCACCATCACAGACAGGGCAAGCCACCAGAATATAAACAGAGAGCAAACCCCACTCCTTCCTAGCAGGAATGATGTTACCTAGTAATGAAACATCGGCAAGAAAACAAACAAGCTCAGAGAGCACCAAGGACCCTCCAATTTTAACTCTGAGCTACAAATATTCACTTTTATTGGTCTTTTTGCTTAATTACCACATTTTATTATAATGTCTCAGCA